AACAAAGTGAGGCACATGGTGAAGAACAAGAAGAAGTTCTAGTGCAATCTGAGGCTGATAACAATGAACCAGAAATGGAGGACAATGACCCAGGAATGGATGATATTAGAGGAAGAGGTGCTGAAAATGAGCAAGAAATGGAGGAGAATAGAGGAAGAGGAGTAGAAAATGAGGAAGACATGGAGGAGAATAGAGGAAGAGGAGCAGAAAATGAGGAAGACATGGAGGAGATTAGAGGAAGAGGAGCAGAAAATGAGGAAGAAATGGAGGAGATTAGAGGAAGAGGAGCAGAAAATGAGGTAGAATCTGATGATGATGAAGACAGTTTAGAATATGATTCATCCCTCCAAGAAGCTACACCTCTAAGCAAGAATTAGATGAAAAGGAGAGTAAAAGGTCACACATCCAGCATACTTCTTACAATCTTGAGTCTGAACCTCCTGTTATTTCCTTAGCGATGCTTTTTGAAGATGCAAGGCAATTTAAAAATGCTATGGTTAGGTATGAAGTGGCTGAGAAAAGAGATATCCGGTTTGTGAAGAATACAGATACAAGCGTTAGGTTGAAATGTGTCCCAACATGCTCTTTTGAATGTACTGCAAGTTGGGAACCTAGGCTGAAGTGTTTCCAGGTTAAGGTTCTTGAACTTGAACATAGATGCAATTTGAGGTTTAAGCTAAGAATTGTCAGTGAGAAGTGGATAGCTGAGACATTTGAAGACAAGGTAATAGAAAACCCAACCATGGGTGCAGTAGATTTGAAGGCACATATTAAGAGTGAGATGAAAAAAATCAATGTTTCCGGTAGTATGGCCACAAGGGCTTTGAGGGCTATACTGAAGAAAACCCAAAGAGATTTTCAAGATCAGTTTAAAAAATTGAGGAACTATGCAGAGGAATGCTTGAGGTCCATTCCAGATTCAACTGTTAAGATTCACAGAGTTAGAGTTGTCCCAGAAGCTCCCTCAGTTTTTCAACGCATGTACATCTGTTTTGGGCCTGTCAAATGAGGTTTTCTTGAGGGTTGTAGGAAGGTTATTGGCTTGGACGGTTGCTTCTTAAAAGGACAACTAAAGGGAGAGATATTAACTGCAGTTGGGAGGGATGTGAATAATCAAATGTACCCAATAACTTGGGCTGTGGTTGAGATAGAGAACAACTCTTCTTGGCTTGGTTTTTAGACCTATTGACGACATATTTGCAGATTACTAACCCACATTTGTGGACTCTAATTAGTGATCAACAAAAGGTCAGTCCTTATAACATGAAATATTTCAATACATTATGATATTCAACTGCATATGTACATGACTTTCATCCTATTTATGTAGGGTCTTTCAAATGTCATAGCTAATGTATTCCCTGAGGCTGAGCATAGAAACTGTGCTAGGCACATACATGCGAATTGGAGCAAATCACATAGGGGCATGCTCATGAGGAAATTGTTTTGGAAGTGTGTCAAGTCTACATGTGATGCATAGGTAAAGGATGCATTAGCAGAAATAGACAAGGCTGACAGTGAAGCTGGAAAGGACTTGAGGAAATATCCATTGCACTTATGGTGCAAGGCATATTTCAGAAGTGAAGTGAAATGTGATGCAGTAGACAACAACTTGTCTGAGGCTTTCAATAGAAGCCTCATCAAATGCAGAAGTAAGCCACTGATTCCCATGCTTGAGGAAATCAGAGTTGCTATGATGAAAAGAATAGCCAAAAAAATATGTGGATAAGTGGCCTGATAAGCTGTTTAATATTTCATATTACACTCATGTTCACTTGTTAAGCCTCTGAAACTGTTACATACTATGTCTGTAATTGTCAGGTAAGTTTGGACCAATAATTATGAAGAAGATGAATAAAAATGTTCTAGCAAGCCAAGGGTGGCATGTGGACTTCAATGGTGATGATGGATACGGAATTAAAAAAAGGAAGACAACAATTCAATGTCAGCCTTAATAGTAGAACATGCTCTTGCAGAAGGTGGGATCTGCGTGGTATTCTTTGTGCACATGCTATATGTGCCATCTTTGATAACGGAGGGGAACCAGAAGACTATGTTCACAGTTGCTACTCCAAAGAGATTTACAAGAAGACTTACTCATATACCCTTCCACCAATTAATAGAGAGCTCTTATTGACAAGAACTGAACATGAAGAAATTATGCCTCCTTTGCCAAGGAAGATGACTGGCAGGCCAAAGAAGAAGAGGGTAAGAGAAGAAACTGAAAAACCAGCTTCAGGTTCACATCTTAGTAGAAAAGGAAGAATTATGACATGCTCCAATTGTAAGGTCGAATGACATAATAAATCTTCTTGTCCTAACATTGAAGTTCACACTGAGGTGCTTGCACAGGGAAGAGGTCAAAGGGGAAGAGGTGGGAGGGGAAAAGGAAAAGAAAATGGTACTCAGGGAAGTGAGGTTTCTGGACATGGAAGAGGTGGGAGGGGAAGAGGAACTTCAACTACTACTCAGGGAGGTGAGGTTTCTGGACATGGAAGAGGTGGGAGGGGAAGAGGAGGGAGGGGAAGAGGAGCATCAAATGCTAGTGAAGTTTACTGTGAGGTGCCTGCACAGAGAAGAGGAAGTGGTAGTGAAATTTACTCTGAAGTTTCTGGACATGGAAGAGGTGAAAGTGGAAGAGGGGGAGGGGAAGAAGGGGGAGGTGGTAGGGAGAGAACACAAAGGGGATTTGAGCTATACTTTGATGCCAGTACGGGTGAAACATTGCTAGATGTAAGTTTATGTTACTATATGTCTTCAATTTTATCTGTTATGTTACTATAAATCAGGATTTATATGCAAATTTTACCTCTTTGCAGTCTGGACAAGCAAGTGAAAGAGTTGTTGGTGGAGGGAGTCCATGAAGTGTTTCAAATGAAGTGAAGTGTTGAAGATTTCTTGTGGATGTTTTTAGAGTTTAGTCTGTTTTTTTAATATTTTATGTTGGCCTTTGAACTGTGGTTATTCACGCAGATGGGTGGGGCATGTGTTGTCCTTTTTGCCTTTAAAGTGGGTTGTTGTGCCCTTTAAAGTTGGCTTTAAACTTCCCTGTAAGCTTTTTTGTTGTATGTTAGATGTCAGGTCAGATTCAATGTGTTGTGCAGTCTTTACGGTGGCCTTTGAACCTAGACATCATGTATTTTGTTTGGATGTTGAATTGTTGTTATATATTCAAACCTTTTTGGATGCTAACTTTGTTGTTAATTGTGGTTATGATGTTACATTTTCTGATGTATTAAACTTTGTTGTACATAAAAGAGCTAGCATCCCGAGGGCCTGAATGCTCTGTTATTCAAATTGTTAACTTTCTGGATGCTTTTCTTTGTTATACAGCAGAAATATAATTGGTTTATTACCAGGGTGTTGTACACACTAAACCCAACGAATCAAATTTTTGTTTATTACCAGAAATTTTCTTTGTTACATTTTATTGTTAATTGTTGTACACAGGCTGTTATGCTGTGGTTTATTACCATTTTTCTGGTTTGTTACACTTTTCTTGGTTTACCATTACCATCCAAAAAACAGAAGCATGTGAAAGTGTTCTGATACAAACTATGTATTGAGTAATAACAGAAGCATGTGAATGATTTTTGTATTGAGTAATAACAATAGTACAGGACATAACACAACACATGTGAACCCTTTCAATACATCAATAATTACTCCTACTTTATTATGTAATGGTTGTACCAACATGTACTACGTGTTAACCCTGTCAATACATCATAGCTAGCTCGGGTCCTACAATTACAAAGTAGTCAACTTCCAATAAACTATCCCCACTAAACCAACTACAACAACCAAAGTAAACCCAACCAACTTTCTAAAGACTCTAGTGTCCTTTGCTTGTGTTTGAACTAGCTTCCTAACACCATTCACTTGGACTTGTATAGCACTTAGTTGTTCATCAAGTCTGTTTTCAAATCTTGAAACCATACCTTTCAATTCGTCTCTGTTTTCATTCATCCCAGCCAAGTTATTTACCCCTCTCGTTTCCATAGCATCCACCCAAACAAAATATCTGCACCCAGAATTATGCACCTGTTAAATGTTAACAAGAGTTTTCATAACTATACAACCATCTTATACACCCAAACGAAGCCAATTAAACATTACCTTCCATTTTTGACACCCATAGAACTTACTGCCACTCTCTCACGAAACATACAGGGGGGCTTTCAGTAGATGGACTTGATTGACTTTTTGTCTGAAGTAGGTGGACCAATATGATAGTTTTCCCTTAAAGTTTTCATACTTTTTATTGGTCAAAAAAAAGGGAAAAAAATATTGGTCTGCTTTGTTAGAGTTTGCTTAGTTTTAAAATATTTATTTTCATTTTTCATTGCTTTAGTTGATTATATTGAATTTCTCCGTTTCTTTAGCGCGTCTTTATGATCAATGACAATTTTGAGTTTGAGTGGCGGCCCCTGATTCAAATTATAATTACTTTTATTATTAGGGTGATTGTTGATCTGATTTGATTTGATTTGATTTGAGATTGAAAACAATTCAAAAGAAAACATCTTATCGTTGAACATGTCTAGCAATTATTTCTAATCTCTATACACTTATGATGTTTTTATTTGGATTTATTTTAGTCAAAGACAAGACAAGACAACATCAGCATAGACAGATCAGACTTAGACAGACCAGATTTTGACATTTTTATAAAATAAACACAGAACTTCCATTTATCACATCATATCTATTCAGATCAAATGAAACTTAGGGGTGTTTGGATCTGATTCTCAAAACTGATTCTGCTCCTTCATGGAGCAGAAGCTGAAGCTGGAGTGTTTGGGTGAACTTCCAGAATCACTTCTGGAACTCTAATTTACTCTCAAAATCAATTTTTTTAGAAGCAGGGGATACTAACTTCTGAAAACTAATTCTGATTCTACTTTTGCTTTTAAAAAAGAAGCAGAAGAAGAATTTGTTCCAAACACCCCTTAAACACGCCAAACCCATCCTCAAAATTTAAATAAAAACTTTAAGAAGGCCTATTCAACTTGGATTTGACGACAGCATTCTTCCCTCGCTTCTTCCTCTGGCCAGGCCAGTCGAGAAGAAAGCCTGTCACAGGATTCATACCTTCTCCTACTTCGAAACAACTCAACAATCAATCGGTAAGATCATTTGTACTACTGTTCCTCGCGACTTGGTAATGACAACTTTCTGACTTATTTCGATAGGTTGCAAAACTCGCATTCATTAAGCGCGCATACCGTTGCTATATTGATTTGGATGACATAATTCACTCAAACGTTTATTACTACATAAACTAAACCTTTTGGGGGATGTAAATCATGGTCTCATTGCCTCATTGGACATTTAGAATAGTTTTATGTGGTTTGAGGCAATCTAAATTATTGATGGGAGGGTGAGGTTTTGATTCCTTGGAAACGTGTATATGTTTTCTTTATTTTGCCTAGCATTCATGAATGTCACTCTTCCTATTTGACCTTCACTTAAATTCTAAATTCTTAATGTTAAACTTCTTTGAACAAATATAGTCAGTCGTCATTTTTCCTATCATTATCTTTCTTAGTGTACTATTATTCAGATTTGTTTTTAGTTTTATTGGTTAGATACAAACTATGAAATCTGAAAATATTTACGAACCCAAAAAATGACGATGCTTTGGAGGTATAAAAATATGAGATTAATTATGAACATCACTTTTCAATTTCATGAATACCAGTTTGATAAATTTAGTTGTCCACCTAGCAACCTAGTTGTTTGGTGGGTAATCCAGCACTCAGAATTTAGAACACTGAACACCATCTTTTACTTAATAACAAAACATGCTTTATAAAGTTATTTTTTTCTTTTTGATGTAATAAAATATACTACCGGTGGATCACTATGATTGAGACATGAGGAAGTGGCACAAGTATTAAAGATATGAAATCACATGGTAGGTATTGAATTGATAAAATATGAATGAAGTATATGGATTAGAATTTAGAACTACACAAATGTTACTTAATATAGTATGAGACAAACTTAATGGGATGGAAGGTGTAATGTTGTAATTCAAAACGTTTCGTACTCCTCAATTAAAATTCTTCATTTAAAATATTCCTCCTTGATTAAAATTATTGTATCCATACTGGTGCATAAAATTGATGTATGTATGAAGGTAGATGTGTAAAATGAGAAATTAATGTCCTATATTTAGTACCAGTCATTTTTAGTGATGGTGTGAGCCTTCATAATCCTAATTTTGGTCGTGTGTTGTAGTTCTGTAGATATGATGTGAGAGTTTCTTCAAATTAGTATGTTTTAATTACCACATGCACCAGTTTGAGTGTATTTATTAATCCAGGAGTTTAAAGAGGACAAGTGAAAATGGATTATACTTCGAGGCAAGAAGCGGTTTTTGAGTTACCAGGAGAGCCTGCTATTGTTGTTAATGGATTACCTCCCCTCCCCCCAGATTGTGTAAACCTTGTTCCCTGTTCTGCCATAACTGATACAGTAGAATTGCATAGATATGAAGGTTGTTTCAGTCAATGGCTGGAGGGTAGAGAAGTTCAAAAGCTGTTTGGGGACCAACTTTACATCGGAAAAGTTGCCAAATACGATGAGGACACTCATTGGTATAAGGTGGTCTATGAAGATGGCGATTCGGAAGATCTTGAATGGAATGAATTAAAAGATATTCTTCTTCCCTTGGATATAAATATTCCATTAAAGACGCTGACAATGAGTATCATGAAGAAGACAAACTTGGATTTAATGTATAATATTCCATTAAAGACGACTCAGCCAGCAACAACGAATATCACGAAGAAGACACATAGTAAACTTCTTCAAAAGACCACAAAAACTCAGCAGTCTCAAGCCAGATATGATTATGGTACAACAGTTGAGGAAGGCATTGATCAGAGAAGCGGATGAAAGTGGTCAGTTTACCAATGCTTGGCTGGTGGTGTATTCAATGCCGAGTATGATCATCTTCTTCAGAAACAATTACTACTAATATTTTTAGTACAAATCAGGCACTTAGAATTCTTTAACTTCCTGTGGCCAATGTTTCGTTTTACTAACTCCTCTGCAACTGAAAGAAACAAAATGGTTTTTGGGTTTTCTTTGAATTTGTTTTCCAGCAGAATTTTATGTATGTCAACTTCAAACCCACTTGGGCATCCTATTTACTTGCATAATTGCCATATTTGTATGAACTACTCCTCAGTAAAGTGGATTTTATTGCCAATGGTTGTAGACATTTGTGAACACAATGATCCTGTGATTCCTGTCCAAGAAATTATTTTCATACTGTCAAAGTCTTGTAATGACGTTTCTACTTTCATTTTTGGTCTGTTTCTACAAGAAACACTTTCTGGTAAAGATTAGGTATCCCCACCTACCACCAATTGCTTCCAACTACATATCAATATCACAAAGGCAATCTTGGAAATAACAAAGAACAAAAATGATTCATTGAAAATTTGGCAAATTCGAACCACATAAAATTGTTACCGATGTGTAATACAGGGACTCTTTCAAAAGCATAAACAAATAACTGTTATAATGCTAATTTTTAGAAATGAACACGTGTTTATCAAATGCCAAATTGGGTTAAGTATATAAATGGGATCATTAAAAATATTATTATTAAATATAGAATATTTAGGATTTTTATGTCTCCAGTTCCAGTTTTGTACCATCCTGGAATGACTGAAGTAACTCTTCAAAAGAGGGAGTTCTCAGGTTTTCTATGAATTCTTTGCTAGGCAGGTTGAATTTTATTCTTCTTGGAGTTGAATCCAAATGCTCATCCACCTGGTTGTTAATAAAAGAGATAATCATTTGAAACTTGTTTCTTTCATTCCAGCAACAATGTGAAACATAAAGCATACAGTATTGAAACTTGAACTGGAAAATCAATTGGATTAGGAAATTTTGATATTCAATTTTTCAGAGTTAGTTTACATCTCATGTTCAAATAACGTTTGATATTAATTATTAAGAACAAAACAACTGAATTAGCTTACTTTAGATTTATGTCGCGTTCATGAAAGCAAAAGTGATCAAATTATTGCTTTAAAAAAATAATAAGAAAAGGTCAATGTTTCAGGATGTCCGATCTATAAAAATAGAATGATGATTTTTATTGCTGATATTGTGTTCGATAAATAGTTACCAGATTTTGTTACATTAAATGATGTCAACTAGTCGATTTAAGTATAAAGCCTAGGTGGCTGCGTGGCACTAAAAATTAAGGCACAAGTACCCTATTTCTTACTTTTTTCTTAAAAAACATGTTTGATCAGTATTAAACTTTTTTTTTGAATTTCATACGAATAACATGTATATACCTATTAAACTTTACATATTAATAATATTCTGCTCTTGGTTTACAATATTACATTAAAAATCAATAATTTGAGTCCTGCTAACATTTCAAAACACGTTTTGTGGTCTACTAGCATTCAGGTTAAAAAAACTCTTAATTTATGAGTTATGTTCTTTATTCTAACAATATTCAAAGTTTTTTAGCATAACAATATTCAAAGCTTGTCTAAAAATAATAACCTAAGCTTATGCTGTTATGCATACCAGCTAGTGCACTTTGTCACTAAAATACAAAAAAAAATCTTTGAATAAGTTTTTGTTCATAAAGTACAATAGCTTTTATTATGTTTTGGTGTCACGAATTCCTATTTTTAGAACATTTATATCGTGAAGTACTAAGTTACTCTTTGTTCTCATAAGTCATAAATGTGAACATATACTGTAAATAAATTCAGACTGTTTTCTTGTATGCTGTAAATGCCAAAAAAGAACAAAGGAGTAATGCATAAATTGATTGTTTTCTTACATTTCTCCCTGGCTACACTATACCTTCCAATGTTCCGTTATTCTTTCTATTTTTCATAGGTTCGGGTGACAGAGGGCAGTTTTAGTGATTCATTATAGTGTGCTTATTTCTTAATGAACAAATATTAAACATCAGATAAGTAATAAGTGAATGTCCGAACGAAGTTATTGATGTGTTTACCTTGTAATCGTCTGTCAAAATCTTTTCTGTATTTAGTGCAATCTCAGATATTTTGTGCGAATGAGTCATTTCCATTCCATTCATATCAGCAATACATGGATCGATGCATGTTTTGATCTTTTGGATCCCTCCACTATCCATTTCTTGCAAATCTGAAATAGAGTATTTCTTTATTATTATCAGAAGACATCATAATGCTGTTTAAATAATGCAACTTCAAAATTTAGCACATACATTCCGTGGTAGAGAGAACGTTCTTCATAGCAAGATCAGTTTCTTCAAGTATGGTAGAAGCACAAGCAGAAAGTTGAGCATTGACCTTTTCATGCTTTCCTATTCCACTCCTAAGTTATGAAACAAGTATGAGCAAACAGATCCTAATAGGTTATTCTTTTATGTGCTGTTCCTTTCCTTGGGGAATAATAACTTACTTAATAATGGAGTCTATGGAGTTGGTATTTGTAGTGTGTTGTATAATAAGTGACTCTTGAGCCTTCCTCCATTGTTCTGCAACTGCATTGGAGATTCTCATACTGCATGTTTACCAATAGAGTGACTAAATTCTTTTTTCATGGTTTCAGATAAATTGGTATTTGCAACTTTATATCATCAGGATAAAGATTTACCACCCTCTAAGGCTCTCTTCAAAGCCCCCTCTCCAGGTTTCTAATATAGTACTATCCTCTTTGTGATGAACCTTTGTTCCCTCAACGAAGCTTGTCCATTCTTCTTGAGTAGAACAACTGCAGTCATGGATGTTTGAAAGTTCCTTGTTTAGATGTCTGGTTTTATTATTAGCACACCTTTGAAGAGCATCAAGCTCTGTTTGAACCTATTATTCAAACGAGAAACAGAAATGAGATTGCACATAACAATGAAAGGGAACTCCCTCTGTTTCACATTAACTGATGTTTAGCATCTGATTGGAACCCGGAACAAGGGAAAGGAAAAAGGCCAACTAAAGTTATATATTTCGGTGTTGGGTTTTACCTTTTGAAAATGCAATGGAAAATGATTTTTTTGTTAAGTACTTAGGTTTTACATATTAGGTTTTCTTACTCTTCAGAAATGAAAATGAGTTCAACAAATATCTAAAGAAACATTATTGAGGTTTTGCCTATCTTTTACCCCCCCCCCCCTCCCCCAACTATTTCTTTCCTTTGCGTCTTTCTTCATATCACAATCGCCTAGTATCTTCCAGTGTCCAAATAGACCTCGAGGGAAAAGGTCTAGAATCTTGCAAGAAACTAGTATATTACATAAATTATGTTAATTAAAAAAAATGTTCAATCAGAATGACATCTATTATGAAACTTAGGGAGTAACATATATGGGTAAAGTAGCATTTGAAAATGGAAGGGAGTACACACAAGCTGTTTCTTCCGAGCATGGGAAGTTGCTAGCAGAGACGCGACCTTTTCTAAAATTTCTCTTTCTTCGTTTGCAGCCAGTTCCTATCAGGGATTCAAAAGATACTAAAATGTTTATCAAGATAGAAGCTAGTTATTTATTTAGGCACATAGTTACCTCAAACTTCCTTCCAAGGGCACAGATTTGCTGGTTATTCTTTCTGTTTGATTCTTCCTCCATGTGCGCCAATTTGGAAACAAATGTCTTTAAATCCTTGAAGAAGCTTTCAAGAACTTCAGAAATTATTTTAGTGGCTTGGTATGTTTGTGATTGGTTCTATTACACATGATAACACAAAGCAGGGAAGAAGCAGAAGAAGAAAACACGATGAGTTCCAATTTTCAGTAGCAATAACACAAAAGACCAAGGTTTTAGTGATGATTCTTCCTCCATTCCTATATACGAAGTATGTACCTGTTGTTCCTGTTGTAGAAATGCTTTCATCTTTAACTCAAGACCATTAAAGTTGTTCTCTAGACCATTAAGTACAGAACCAATGTCTGAGGAAATCTTCGCAACAAGCTGCACTAAATATGGATGATTCAGATGCTGCAGTTTGGTGGAAAAACATCACGTAAAACAGATCTGAAACTCACTTCCATTGTTGAAGATGAACATTTTGATACTTCTGAATTTAATTTCCCAAAGGTGGCATGAAAATTTTCACTTTGTTCTTCTGCTATGCCAGCCAAATTTTGGACATCAGACATGTACATATCTTTTAGCTCCTTGAGCAGATTCTGTAGACCTTCCGTTGCCTATCCTTAGATACAGGTATGTTGGCATGAGTTTGAATCTTAATTTGAAATTTAAAAACACAGTTGTGGGTTCTTTACTTCTTTATTCAACCTTCGTAGGTTCTTTATTTAACCTTGTTGAAGAGTTTCTTCCAAATCGGCTAAATGAAATGATGAAACCACATTTCAGATTTTGGGGTACTCTTCCTAACACGATCCATAGTCATGATGTTAGCCCCTCTAGAAAAAGAGAAAATATATGGTCCAGACGAGATGTCAGAACGTAGGGGTATGTGCCCTTGTAAAAAATGGTATTTTTGTTATAAATTACTTTATAAGAACGAGGTGTTTTCCTGTCGGGTCGTGATTTAAAATTTATCTCATCATCATCATTATCCCAGTGCCGCAAAGGCTCCCACCTACGGTGGGATAAGGGGCGGTCGGATGTACGCAGCCTTACCCCTGTTCAAAAGTACAGGGAGACGGTTTCCAGATGACCCATGGTAAAATCGCATTCAAAAATTGCATGAATTGACTTTTACGTCATAACAACGAAGCGCACACAGTTTAGTGAGCCATTTTGCTCTATTCCATCATATTCTCAAGCCAAAAAATAGTGAATCTTTGGCTCCATTTCGAATGATGGAAACAAAAATGAAACAACGAATCAACGTATAAGATATTGAGTTCCTCCTCCAAAGTTTAGGACCTTAAACAAACCTTGGACTTTGCAGATAAAAAAAGTTTTGTGTTCTCTTGTACAACTTTCAGTTGTTGTGCTTGTTGTGATGCAGTAGTTGCTACATTCGTATTTAGAAGTTCAAGTTGTTCTGCTATTTGGTTCTTGAAGTTCTGGAGAATAAGTTGGTTATTTTCCTCTCTAAGGTTATTATTATCTGTTGACAAAATAAAAAAAAAGTTATTATAAATAATTGGACGAGATTCCTAAAAGTCAAGCTTTGAAACAAAATGCTCACCTATTTTCCTACATAATATGGAAACCGCTGATTCTGCATTCTCTAGCTCTGCTCGAAGCTCGATTGCTTTATCAGTAAGTGCCTTTTCTATATATAAAAGTTGGGAATAAAATGTTCAAAGGTCTTAAATGGTAATGTGCTTCTGTAAATTACAAACTAGTATTCATACCAGATGTGATGAGATAATATATTAAGTATTGCTTCTGTCGAACCGTTTCTTTTGCTTGACTGTATTGAGCTTCTAGTTCACATAAGGATTCCTCAGTGTTCTTGAGTTCTCTCTGCCATTGGAAGCACAAGAAAAGGTAATGCGACTTTTTCGTATGGATGCAACCCAGTTGGGAAAGAGCTGCTGCTCAATTGACATTCTTTTACCTTGGCCTGTGCAATTTTTTCAACTAAATCTGCTGTCAACTTTTTCTGGTTATTGTATAAATCTTCAAGTTCTGCAATTCTCTGTTTCCGAATGTCAGTTATATTAACCAGGGCATGATCAGAAGCATTTGTTTGGGTAGAGGATTTTGGAGAGAGATAGGATAGAAATCAAAGAAGTTTACTATGTTTGGTTGGAGGAGTTAGGGGAGGAGCTAAAAGAACTCCAATAAATACCACTCCACCCCAATGGGAAGTTGCTTTCCCCCTTGACATGTATTCCTTTTTTTATACCCAAACACTTTTACATTATTATTGTTACACTTGTGAAGTATTACTCATTACGTCTTGAAATGTAGTTCATGTTGACGTGCTTATTAGGAAAGGTTATGGTTGAGATTTGAGTTTATTTCTTTCCTTAAAATAATATAAGGAAATTATTTTGGAAAGACTTAAAAAAGGAAATGGAAAATATATTTCAAGTTGGAGGGATTATATTTTTATTTACAGAAAAATCATACGGAGTATCAAATACTCCGTACTACATTCTACATATTTCCATAAATACCAATTCCTCTCCTCTCATCCATTGAACAAAACATAAATGAGTGACACTTACCTTGTTTTTCTGCTCGATATCAAGTTCCATGAGCTTCTGTTTTTCAGCCAGTTCCTACAAAACGAAAAGTAAGTGGCTTATCTCTCTCTTCTGTATTTGGAAGACTTTAAATGAAGTACTTCCATCATTTACCTATGTTCCATTCCTATCAGGGAAGACTACATTGTTTTTATTTTATTTTAAATATCATAGGCTGGAGTGGAATTAGTACCTTTTGGGCAGCCTCATCAGGCTGGAATAGCTCTTGGGGAATGTATATTCCATTCTTTTGGTTAACCTGAGGATGGAATATATATTTTGCTCTTGAAAGACTAAAAGATACTGGGAAGAGAACAGTAAGAAAATCTCTTCTTAACATAATGCTGCTGCTTTACTAACCTCTGGTCTGTTTTTGATGTTCTTGGCGCGAAATGCATAGTCTAAAGTACTGAGAGTCTCATCCAGGCATTCAAGAGAGGGAGAAACAGTGGCAATTATGCAGGTTTTTGTCTTTCCTCCCAATGAGTCCCTCAATAGTCTTGTCAATTTGCTATCCCTAAAACCCCATATACATAAATATTTTCCTCAAATTATACCTTTCCCATACTTCCCTCAATTTTATAATAATATTAGTAATAGTGATGATAACAACAACAACATGTTTACCTGTAAGGAACATGGCCGGAGTGATCAGCCAAAGCATTGATGACTCGTCCTAGTGTAAGTAAGCTCTTGTTTATCTCTCCCGCTTCCCTTGCTCTTCCCTAAGCGCGCAAATGAAGATATCAGTTCTCATTTCAACGGTTATTGGCTAAATTTGCAAAAAATGGTGTGCCCCTTTTGTGAACTTGTAGGAGGCTAGATTTGCTTATTTTTAGCTCGGAAAGTTGAATGAGGTTTAACCTTAGGGGCGTTTGGTGGTGATGAAATTACTTTGCATAGAATAGCTTATTGTTTTATAGGCAGAGATGTGCAACCTTTTTAAAATTGCATGAAAAGTTTGGCTGGACTGCCAATTCACTATTCACGTCCTCACGTGGTAAACATAAGAATTAATTACATATTTATGACTAAAATAAAGATTGTTTACAAAAATGTGACTAATGACTAGAGTAGTAATGAATTAATAGTAACTTATGTTCAATTTTTAAACTTAAGTTACCATGACACTACATTGTAGTAACTAGTAACTATTAGTCATGTTTGTGTAAACAAGTTTTATTTTAGTAGTATATTTGAAAAAACCCTAAACATATTTACTTTTTTATCTTTGATTTTGTAGTATCAATCATTTTATAAAATTCATACGTTTTTTACGATTCAATAGAACATTTTATATAGATTCTAAATATCTAAATTTCAAATAATGATAGTAATAATAATTTAAACAGAAATAGGAGTATGTTTCCCCCCTAAATAAGTGCAAAAGAAATGCGAAATTCAAAATAGTAGCACTATGTTTCCCTCCTACATAGGAGTAATTATTGCCATGGATGGAATTATGGCAATAATACTGCCAAATTATTGGCAATTCCAAAACATGACAATACGATTTTAACTTCTGTTTCAGAAAAAACTTGGTACTCCTATTTTTGAATTTTACATCGTTTTTACTCATATTTCAGAAAAGTTTTCTAATTTAAATGTTATCAGGGAGAATTAACTTTAATAATGTAAACTGTAACTTGCAATGTCTATCGGAACTTGCAAGACAGTACCTCTTTGGCACCAGATCTCAAAATGTTCTCAGATCCTGCAAGATCAACAAGGTTTAGTTTCCCACATTTGATCACTTCCGTCCCATGTGACGAACATTCCTTGATTTGCACTGTGATGGAGAATATAGAATGTGATCGGTTGCTTTGTTTGTTTAAAAGGGTTTCTGCAGTGTGCTTCTTTGCCGAGCCACACTCTAGAATTTTATATATTTCATCTGCACTTGACACTATCTCCTCTTGAAGGCCTCTGATGAAAACAGCACTCTTTCCGTCTTCCATCAGTTTTACTGCTGTCTTTGAATCTTCTTCTTGGGTGGAGAGTAGATCTGTTATTTCTTCATTGTAAATCTCTATGAATGTCACCCTCATCATGTACTCAGCCTTTTTGGACTCCACAGTGTTGAAAATCTGCTCAACTGCTCTTGGGATCACCCCAGCATTCTTCTTAAGCTCTCCATTCTAATGACATTAAAGAAATGAAGTAACTATTCTAAGGCCAAGTTTGGTATTGATGTGTTGTGGCTTTTTAAGCTACAATGCTTTGTCCTCCTAAAGTTCACTTGGCATAAAAGTGTAGTAGGTCAAAAGCCACTATTACATATAAAGCAACTTCAAAACAATAGTTGTCATGGCATCGTCTAGGCATCGACTAAGCGATGCTTAGGCATCCAGAAAAATAGAAAATAAAAAACACTAGCCATCGGAGGTCTCCTTTCCTAAAGAGAGAGAGAGACATTGGATGATGTCACTCAATTAGGTAAGAAGATCCTAAAGACAAATGATGTTCTGGCTCGTCGCTGCCTACTAAGTTTGCATTTTTTCCCCTTCCTTTTCTTCTTCTTTTTATTCATTTTCACCGTTCTTCGTTTTCATTATTTATTTTGTAATTAATTTTTTGTAATGTTTTCTTTTCATTTCTTTAGATGGTAGTCATATGAATCACCAATTTTTTCATAGTATGCCCACGTAAAACATGTTTACACTCACAACACTTTGCATTATTTCATAACACTAATGCCAAATTTGTCCTAATCAAAACAAAAATATAAAACTAAACATAAATGCCAAACCTCTTCCTTCCCGCCTTCACCTTCCATTGTAAATGTTTTACCAGTCCCGGTTTGGCCATAGGCGAAGACTGTGCAAGTATATCCTTCAAGGGCATCATCAACAAGAGGTGCAATGGCTTGATTGTACAAGTCCTTCTGATGAGTTGAGGGACCAAATACCTAAAATCGAATAGGAAATACGGAGTACGTATTAGTATTATTTCACATTTGATAGAATCATGGGTAAGAAGATGAGGCATAACATCTTTAAGGAAATAAAAAAGTCTAACCTTGTCAAAGACAAAAGTACGATTTGTATGTTTAGTAGTTGTATTTAGGATTGCGGACACCTCATGTTGCTGTTCATCACATGATATCACTAGGGGAGCTTTTGCCCTCACTTCATCCTCATTTTGCGGTCTGAAGCATATACAAATATACACATACATAAAACATATGGTATCAAAATATGTTATGAAACGCGTTATGGAGGTTGCAGGTGGGGCGCAGTCAGGGTCAATTTTTTTTAGAATGAAGACATCATTTAGTATCGGTTAACAAGAGAATATTTTACTCGATTTTCTCTCTCTGAAATATTACTTTAATACTTCATGGAACTTCATTGTCACCGCATTGTGAAATTTAAGATATCATGATCACTTAATTATAAAAAGTCATATTTTTATCCACGTAGTCATACGTCGATAATTGTTCCATGAATGGCGTTATTGTTATAAAGTACTACGTATTCTTTTAATCTCATTAGAGTGTTTCTGAATAAATATGATAAAGTGGCAGTGGAAGTAAGATATTGCTTAGGAAACTGGAAAGAAAATTATATTCGTGTGACTGATTTTAAAACATAAAAATATAAAGAAAAATGAAAGATGGCCATAATTTAAATTTCTTTAACGTATGTTTAGATTAGCATTCTTTGTAATCCGTATAATAGCAACACATAAATGGAGTGAGTTTGAACAACTATACTTAAACTTCCTCTGTTTCTTTCCCTAGCTTTCAAGCAGACCCTTAGACTTTCTGAAATTTGCTGTATTTTTCATCTATATTGCCATATTAGTTTTTATTTCCACATGTTATTTTTCTGAAAACAAATGATGCAAGTATGATAGCTAAATTATTTTTTTCCTTTGGGTATATATAAAACTTCTTTGTTGACAGAAAGCATTCCCCATTGCTTGATAATGCATGAAAGTTAATTACTCCGTATATTCATTGCTGATGCTTAATATCACAAAAGGACCTTCTCTTAAAACATATACAAATAATTTCTAGGAAAATGACAATCAGCTCAAATGCTCAATACCTGCAACGCAGCACAACTTTCACATTCACAGATTTATCATCGGTCACCCCCGGATCTCTTGAAGGCTTTTCGCCTGACCATAGAGTCGGGGACATCCACGGAAGAGTTGTCAAACTACTCCCTCTCCTCTGGTTATTCAATGTTGAACTATCCATCAAAGGCTGTTACTCCTATTCAAAAATATGGGAAAGTTAAAGAATCACTACAGAACAATATTAATACTCTTCTTAGCTCAGTCAGTTCTGCAAAAGCTACCAATGCATGAAAATGTTTTCTTGGTTTTCATTTATTTATGATTATGATACATGTAATTATACTTGCAACATGCTGAATTACTGATGATGAAACTTCCTCTGATACATTGAAACGCAAAAAAAAATTGAGGAAATTTATGACTGTTACAAACCATTACTAGTTTCAATTACTTTTGAGCATTTATGTATTTTTCTCTGAGTAATTAGGCGTTAGGAAAAAGTCATTGAACTTAATTAATTGATGACACTAGCAAAGGGATGTTTCATATTAGTATGTTACAAAAAGAAAAAAAACTATTCCGTATATAAGATCGAAAAATAGTGTGCATGACATTATTTTTTTACACAGGATGATAATTACCATATGAAGTATTTTGTTCAAATCGTTTTAAACTGGAAAACTTTTTATGATAAAAAAACTGGAAAACTTTTTTATTTAAATACAATGTTTAAATAAAATGCTAGGCTTATTTATACATTTTTATTTAAATACAATATTTAATTGGTAATTATTTAAATACAATATTGGAAAAACGCTAGGCTTATGACATGGGCACATGAGACATACTAGAGCTGAATGTATGACTGATTGTTTTTCTAAAAAGTGATTATTAATTGCATAATCTTGAAATGCTCTATTCAATGTTTTTCTCCCTCAATCCTCCGCCTAATGGGACTCATTGGAGTCATTGCTGACAAATGTCATAGTTGACTTGAATCGTAACAAATCGAACTAATTAAACCGAATTGATAGTGGACCATATGCAATACCTCTGAATTTGTAATCAAATCGTGGAAAAGTGAATAAAACCGAAGGAAGCAGTAAAATTAAATAAAACTTTCATATATTTTTTAAAATTAACATATTCAAATCTAATCAATCCGAACTAAACCAACCAAAATATAGTATGATTTTTATTTGGTAACCATTCTTTAATCCGTTCCAAACCAAACCATACAAAAATTGCAAAAATCCAACCCACCCCACCGCTAACTCTGTTCAAAGAGTGGTGTTTTTTTCCAGTATGCGTTCTCATTAGTCACACTTCACCTTTCGATTCAAGTTGAGCTTTAAGACATCTTAACATACAAATAGACATGTTCTTGATGATGCAACACAAGCATGCTATCCTTTTCCAATATTCCTATCATTCACAACATTCCAAGGAACCTTGAGAACCTTGTGACTCGAGTCCAGATCGAGAAAACCTATCATGAAACTATTAATATTGATTATTGAGTCTACATGACAATGTGATATTGTGATCTAGGTGAGAACAGCGACGTGATTAGAGAGAGGTCTTTAATGGCCATCACTTGAGAGTGAGGATGTTTTTACTTGGACTGTGATAATTGATCTGATCTGGTCTGCTTTAGTCTGATCTGGTCTGAAGTGGTATGCTAAATGTCTGGTCTCTGTGTATTTTATAACTACGAAAGTCTGGTCTGATCTGTTTAAGTTTGGTCTGGTCTGGTTTATTTAAGTCTGATTTGGTCCGATCTGTTTAAATCTTGTCTGGTCTGGTCTGGTCTGGAACTGAAAACAATCTAAATAAAAACATCTTGAGCTATTCTTCAATAGTAGCTTAAATATTAGAAATTCGGAGGGATTGAGAGAGAATTAGTCATGCATCAATGTGGAACACTTCCATTATAAACAAAGTTCAATTCATACGACCTCAAATTGGCTGGCTTTGGTATTTTTCTGATCAAGACCGGACAACTTCATTAGTAACCCCAACTTATAGGGAATGCTTATAGTAAAACTTAAAACTTTACACGTCTTTTATTTATTGCAACTTCCACCTTGTTTATACTCTCTCAATCAGGTCAATTGGAGATGTGGAATCTAAAAAGCACAATTAATTCGATCGATTAATTGGTTCAAAGAGACCTCCCCATTGGAGGGGAGGCAAAATCTTCACCAAAATTAAGGATTTCCTTATTTGTTTGAAAAGAAAGAATAGAGAAGAAGGAATGGGGAAGGACCTAGCTAACCAGCAGTACGTAGTAAGAAGATGAACATTTTATCTATCCCAAATTAAATGAATGAGTATTTTTGGTGAGCACTAAGCTGGTCTAGCCTAGTGGCTATTGGAAATTGGATTTCTTGAAGAGATGGATAAAAGGCGTCTGCGGTAGGGATTAGCATTCCCCATTCCGTATTGGCGTTTCCCATATTAATAATTGGTACATTCATGTGTAGCTTATAGTTGATGCAAAAATTAGTATCATATACGTAGTATATTTATATAACTACCGTTTAGAATAAAGATAAACAGAACAAATAAAGCTTGAACTTGATGAAATGAATATTCTATTATTGTAAAATGAGCAATTCTAAAGAAGATTATAATGGCTGAGGTTTTCTCTCATAAGATTGCCACGCCCAAGGTTTGTCAATAAAATCAAATGGTCGATGGGAGAATGGGTAGGATGCCCCAGCTATACAAAAGATAACTTCTCAAGATGAGAACAAGTTCGGTCTAAAGACCTGTGGGACTACATCTAGGCCTCAATTTTACAATATGAAACAATACAATAAAATACTACTCTCGTTCACCTCAAGTGCTCTCAACTAAGGAAGTGAGAGACTACTAATGAAGGTATATGATCATATCACAGATCTATGAGCAAGATATTCAGCACCGGCCCAATGAGCAACAATCTACACCCCGTATCATCCAAAAGAATAGTTAAAACATGTTCGAGCATTTAATGCATTTAGCATTTAGAGAAAATTTTCTAAATAGAATTAAAAGAATGATAAAGTTCATAAAAATGTTATTCCTAAAACAAGACTCATTTACTATTTTGAAAAATTCTAATACAACTTATTCCTTTAATAAAATTAATAAGTTCTATTTGAGCACTAAAACTTACTTAGCAATTTTAATTTGATTTTAGCCCTATTTAGCACTTTTGTACTACGTAGCATTTATCATTACCATAAATAGCCTCATTTTGAGCAATTATAATTTTTTTAGATATTCATTTACTAGGGATCTTGTTCTCTCTCTACTACTCCGTGTTAGCTATGTATTCACTCTATAATACAACTGGTGAATTATCTATTGAATAAAATACACATAAAATAGATTTTTATTAGACTAGATCAATTAAACGTAGGGGTGTGTTTGGTTCTTTCAGTTCGGTTTTGACCTAAAACCAAATACGGAACCAAAGTAAAAGTTCGGTTTGGTTTCGGTCCGGTTTTACACTCCAAAACTTGGAGCCACGGTTTGATCGGTTCGGTTTGTTTCAGTTCGGTTTCAGTTTTTTCGGTTTTTTACAAAAAAAAAATTGTCATATGATTTAAATTGATATAAAAGTTGGAGAGATCAAACATATCACATAAAATGCAAGCATACTTGAACAAATAAAGAAAATAATACGGAGTAATAACAAATATGTCTTGAATTATATGAGTATGCGGGAGAGATAAAAGTGTATATATATATTCTTAATTTACATTATTTGTGACTCGTTTGAAAAAATTTTATGAATACATATGTCCTATGTGATATAGCTGAGATGAATATTTATTTGTTTTATCAATATAAAAAATTTATGTTACAAAAAAATTAAGTTACATAAAAATAAAAATTAATTACTACTAATAACCAGTAAAAACATATAATCATGCAATAAATTGCAACATACATACACAGAAGGCATAATAGATCAATATAGGTACATCATTATGAGCAATGAATGTGTAAATGCATTTATAAACTAAACTAAACATAGCACAAACATTATTTCTCTAGCACAAGAAATTCAAAGATTATTGATGATATTAAGATTTATGCTTACATTTAACAAATAAAATTTCATATTTTATTTTTGTTCGGTTTATTGGGTTCGGTTTTGAAAGGTAAAAACCAAAACCGAACCAAACTACTACGGTTCGGTTCGGTTTTTTACATTCGGTTTCGGTTTTTTAGCGGTTCGGTTTATTTGGGCGCGATTCGGTTTGATTTGATTCGATTTTTTGTTTTCGTTTTTTCGGACCCAACCCTAACGGGTAAATGTCAGTACATGTGAAAACTCTTCAATTGTAATACTCCATATATTTTAGCGGGGTACTTGTTTAAGAATGAGTAAGTGGAGCGCAAGATATTGTTTATTCGCACCAAAATCAAAGTTTACTAGAGCTAGATCTAGCTAGCCCGACACATAAAATATATCCTACAGTTGGATGTACCGTAAGCACGATACAGTCTTTTTTTTAATGTTTTAGGCTTCTGCGTTTATTGGCTTCGCACCAGACTTCTCCGATCTGCCTTCTCCTCCACCTCGTTGCTCGTCGCCACTGCTTCTCACTCGCCACTGCTCATAACTCTCCTCCCACTCTCTTTCTTTCCAGCGTATTTGCCGGTGTAGTTTTGCTGTTTGAGCTTGTATCTTCGGAGACAAGGAGAGTGTATTTCGTTGCTGAGCAATCCTTGATTTTATTGATCTCAAATGAGTTTTCTATTAAACTCAATGAGTATACGCCCAAAATGAATGTGCATACACAAATGAACTTTAGAATTTTTTTATACTCATTTTGTAAGTTATGCATCTTCATTTCGTACCGCTTTATGCTCATTTTTTGGAACCCCTTTGAGCAATACACATTAAATTCACATATTGAAATTAATTGAAATTGATTATAGATATAATTTTAGAACTTTTATTAACGAAAAAATAGTAAAAAGAAAGTAAATAAGAAGATACGAAGCATAGAACACCGATGCACACTTTTAGGCTCCTAATACTCAAAAGAACATGCTTGATGCTCACCAAAATTGCATTAATGTTTATTGAGTTTAATCCAACATGATATAATAAATATAAATATAAATTGTATAAACTCTCAATCTTTACGCGGAATTTCGAAAGAGAGAAAATTACGGGACTTTTTGGGCTAATGTCCAAGCCACTCTCATTCTCATTAGGCTCTCCTTACCATTATATAATACAAATATAGAAGCTTCCATTAATGGAGGTTGTAAGCTAGCTAACTAGAGAGAAGTAACTATGGGGAAGAAGGCCCCAACCTCTTACATGGAGGAAAAGCCACCCTAACGAGCTAAATGGGCAAAGATGGGTC